ATAATAATAATAATAGTAAATAGCATTTGTATAGCCCATTTCGCCAATCGAAAACAAGCTCTAAGCGCTTTACACTATATTTGATGGTTTGGGATGTAGTTGAATTGTTGTTTTTTTGTCTCGGTAAGTTTTCCAGGTATACTTTTTGAAGTTTGGGAGGGGTGTTTTTTTCGTCTCAATAAGTTCTCCTGTGGTAATTTTTTAAGTTTGGGAGGTAGTTGGGGTCTTTTTTTTCTTCTCTGTACGTTTTCCTGTGATACCTTTTATAGTTTGAGATGTAGTTGGGTTTTTTCTTTGTCTTGGTAAGTTTTCCTGTGCTACTTTTTAAGGTGTTGATATTATTTTTGTCTTTGTAAGTACTACTGTTGGTTGTTTTACTGTATTGGTTTTGTCGTTTGCTGGTAAGTTTTAGTATTGTTTGTTTTCATGTTTGGGGTTCTATTTTTGCTTTTGGTAACTTTCGTTGTTGATTATGGTTTGGGTTTTGTTGTTTGTCATTTTGTTAGTAAGTTTTGGTGTTTTTGTAACAAAGTTTGTGTTTTGTTGTCTTGGTAAGTGTAAGTTTTTACAGTGATACTTTTTGTGTTTGTGTTTTTCATGTCAGTGGGAATGCTCTTTATAAATGAAGTTTATTTTATCATTATCGCTTTTATTACTATTGCTTTTATTATATTTTTATTATTATTATTGTTATTATTGTTGTTGTGGTTGTTATTATTATGTATGCATTTGTATATTTGTTGTGTATTTTTCTTCCCACAGAAAATCGGCGCTGGTCTGGGAATCGTTCCTCTGTTAGGCCTGGTGGAGACAATGGCCATTGGAAAAGCTTTTGGTAAGACCATAGTTTCTTAGTGTGGACTAACCTATCCATAAGGGTCACCAAAGGTCACAGAGAAAAGTGACCGGTATAGACAGGGGGTCGCTTTGTGCAGAGTATGAATTACGACCTCTTACTAGACTTGAGAAAGTCAACAGATGTTTTGAAATCTGAAATCTTAATTTTTTTTTCCGTTTCATTTCCATCAAAATTATTTACTGTCATAAATAAGATTTTTTTCATTCAATTGAATGTACACACTCAAATCTGAGGACTGGTTGGTGGAAAGTTTTGTAGCAAATGACGGCTTTGAGCAGTTTTGAGACCAACTTGTCTCAGAGACTCAGAAATGATTGGCTGTAGCTATGTTGGACAGGGACCGCTTTGGAAAGGTTAAAAATATTTTTTAAATTGTGATGGCCTCTTGGAACAGTGGCCGTTAGTACAGGTGACTTCTGTGTAGCTATGTTGGACAGGGGCCGCTGTGGACATAAGTGGATTGCTTGAGACTCCGACAATCTGGTGTTATGTCTTTGCTGAATAATTTTAGCTATTATTTTAGTTATTCAACTTTGTGTACTACGACTGCTGCCCATACATTATAGGTTAGAATTTTGGAATTCCAGTTTAGAGATAAGGCAAGTGGTTAGAGGGCGCCTCTGATAGAACATACTTCTGCAGTATCCTATTGTAGTGACGCTTCCGTCTGCGCGTCTTGTTAATTTATGGGTATTTTGTTGTGGTCTTTTGGGCGGTTTTGTTCTGGTTTATTTTTTTTTTTATTTTTTTTTTGTCAGTTCCTGTTTTCTGTTACCAAGATAATCTCATTATTAACATGGTTTGACAAAATGCGATGAGTAATGATTTGGAGATTCTCTTTCGAGGCCTTAAAGCAATAGGCCAAAGATAATCTCGCTATTAACGTGGTTTGACAAATTTTAATGCGACGAGTAATGATTCTATGATAGAGTTGTTAGACATTCCTTTCTGAGGGTCTTCTGAATGCCGTTGACGGTTTGAGAAGTACATCTTTGTGACTGATGGCTAGGCCCTGTATAGGGAGAAAAATAGCTCGGACTCATTTTCTGGCCTTAGCGTTATCAGTTTGTTCTTTTCCGTTGTTCTGAAGTGCATTGCACATCGGCAGAGGGCGCGTTTCAAGTCGTCAATACAGGGAGATAACTTTGAAATAGAAATGGAGTAGAGAATAGGACCTATCAGTTGCACCATAGGGCCACTTTCACATAATAATACTTTCGAACTTATGTCGAAAAAGAGCTAATGTTTTCTCTTGGGGTCTTTTGATAATACGAGTTGCTCTGTCTGTCTCTCTCTCTCTCTTTCTCTATCTCTCTCTTTCTCTCTCTCTCCCTACTCTCTCTACCCCCCCTCTCTCTC